GACTGGCCCAAGCTGGGTGACCTTGGGCCTGTCCCTCTCTCTCAGCCCTAGGAAGGAGGCAAAGGCAAACCACTTCCAAAAATCTTGCCAAGAAAACTGCAGGGACTTGTTCAGGCAGTTGTCAGGAGTCAACAGTGACATCAAAAATAAACAACAACAAAAAAAGTGGGAGATAATTGCCACAACTAGCTTATGCTTATCAATGCTCTGAAATATTCCCAATCACAGAAATGAATGGGGACTTAAATTTGTCTTGCTGACTAATTGTCTTACTGGAAATTCCCATGAATAACTTATTCTGACTGCTATCCCCTAAAAGCACAGTAATCATGTAGCCTTGAAAAAATAGCTCCCTAAAACTGAGGCTGTTTTATTTCATGCCAGCCAAATACATTTCAAAATCAGGAAGTACACTAGAGAAAAAATCAATTTCCCAAATGTTATACCACTATGTAAGCATTAAGGTTGAGCACTAAAAATGTAAAATTCCTTTTCAGGTTGTACAATATAATCTTCCCTTGGAGATCCTGTCCCCAGAGATGATCTTTAGAGAGGAGGAGGATCCCATGTAGCACCAGTTTTAAAAGGATGGTCTGTTCACTAATTCATAAATAATCTCGACACAAAACACTGTATTGCTAGGCAAGTCATACAGTCTAAGTAGTTTATTGGGATCTATCAAATCTTTGGTTCCCAAGAGTAATATATGAGTATATAAATGTGACAAACAAACAAACAAACAAACAAACAAACAAACAAACAAACAAACAAACAAACAAACAAACAAACAAACAAACAAACAAACAAACAAACAAACAAACAAACAAACAAACAAACAAACAAACAAACAAATAACGGAGGACAAGTTGATCCTTTTTGGTAAGTAGTAGATATTCAAAATGCTTTCAACTAATTTATATCCCATCTAAGAAAAGCTTGCTTGCGTATTTATTTATTCATACATACATACAGTCGTGTGAAAAAGAAAGTACGCCCTCTTTGAGTTCTATGATTTTATGTATCAGGACATAATAAAAATCATGTGGCCCTTAGCAGTTCTCAAAAGTAGGTAAATACAACCTAAGATGAACAACAACACATGACATATTAGCCCATGTCATCATTTATTTTACAAAAAGCCAAAATGGAGAAGCCATGTGTGAAAAGCTAAGTACACCCTTACTGCTTCCATAGGTATGGAGAGACTAAATAGCAGCCAGCTGCTGCTAATCAAATGCCCTTGATCAACTGATCATCAGCAAGTGTGACTACTTCCATAAAAGCCAAGGTTTTAGGAGTTTGTTGGTCTTGAGCACTGAGGTGTGTGTTAATACAATACCAAAGAATAAAGACATCAGCAATGATCTTAGAGAAGCAATTGTTGCTGCCCATCAATCTGGGAAGGGTTATAAGGCCATTTCCAAACACTTGAAAGTCCATTACTCTACAGTGAGGAAGATTATTTACAAGTGGAAACATTCAAGACAGTTGCCAGTCTTCCCAGGAGTGGAAGTCCCAGCAAATTCACCCCAAGGTCAGACCGTGCAATGGTTAGAGAAATTGCAAAAAATCCAAGAGTTTCATCTCAGACTCTACAGGCCTCTGCATGTTAAATGTTAAAGTTCATGACAGTACAATTAGAACAAGACTGAACAAGTATGGTTT